ATTGAGTTTTACAGTTTTATCTTTACCAAATTCTGTTTTCCATTATTTTCTGGATTCCATTTTAATGGTTCCATTAAACTTTAATAATCAAAAGCATCTCCAATTAATTGATTTTATTTAAAAAAAATAAATTAAAAAAAATACTGCACATTTAAAAAAAATTTTTTTTATTAAAAAAATCCGAACATCAATAAATATCACGCAACAGATTAACCTACCATTAAGTAACTTGTGCATTGTTTTACTTACTTCTTTTCATATCCATAGCAGAAGAAATACTACTGACCACGCTTCAGGAAGGTATCCAGTTATCGCTGAATAAAACGCACAACGGAGGTAGAGACATTTTAACTGATGAAACTTGAGGAAAATAAACATACGACTGCACAAAATATATGGTTTATCTGTGTTCTTCAATCTTGGGTATTTTTATAAGGAAAGTATATTTATAATGCAATGTTAATCGACATGGCCTTTATCACTATATAATACTATCATTCTGTAATATGAAACCACGTCTGGTCACAAAAAGAAGTATTTCCAACACTCGACTATGTTATTAAGTTAATTTGGAGAAAAAGCATGTCAATAATTATATCTTTGTTGGACAACAGTTTTGTAAACAGGCTCATACACATGCAAAACTGTATCGCACACGTACTACTGTAGTACATTTATTCAGACCGATTTTCTGTGCACTCTACAGCCCTAACCAAACCAGTTACAGCTCGAGCTCCTCATTTAGCGATAGGCTACTCCTCCTCAATTTCACGTCCGCTTTCCGTGATGTCTTTCTTATCGTGGGGAGAATTTTTACCGGTATATCGCAAACGATAAGATATCGCCCATCCCTAGAGTCCACATGTTAACCTTTGCTTGAACATACTGCATTAGCTTCAAAATAAGGCGTAAATGAAGTGTGAACTTGATCATTTTATCATTAAGCAACTTGAGGCAGTGCTATACCGTGAACGCAGCCATACACAATATACTTTAGTTGCTGCAATTAGGGTTGCAACAGGGCAGAAAATTTCAGCTAAATTTCCGGAAAGTTTCCAAACTTTCTGAAATGTTTCCAGAAATGTACTGGAAATATTCTGCACCCTTGCCACAATATAGCGCCGTCAGATTTTAATGTTGTTCATCTGTTGTTCGCAGTGATTCCCTGCTGTGCTGGTTACTGCAATGAATGGTAACACTGTCCAGCAGACCACGAGCACTGCATCATCCGTAGCACCTCCTTGTGGATGGAGGGAGTTCTGCGAGTTGCATGCCAGCACCACGGCCCGAGAACTTGCCCAGCACTACCGGCGCTTCGTCAGAGAGTGGCCGGTGCAGGATGTGGTCCCGCCGGAAAGTTTCTCGAAGCAGTTCAGCGCCCTCTTCCAGCACCACTTCAGCTGCGAGGTGGCTAAAGATGCAGAACCCGCCCTGCGGCCACCACCGCCTCCTCCCTTGCTACCCATGACTGGCCGCTTACGCATCACTTCCTTCTCGGGGGTGCTGGATTACCGGGAGACCATGCGGCCAGGAGTGACTCCGCTAGTTGCTGTGTTGACACCCAAACCAGATGCCGCAGGCGTCCCTAGAGAACAGGAGCAGTTGCTGCGATGCTCTCCTGCAGACACTACACGCAGAACGCGGCATCATAGCCAGGAAGACGAACACCTGGAGCAGAGGACTGGGTCTGAACGATACTCGCCCCCTTTGTTTTCCTTCCCTTCCCGTAGTGACGTAACCAACTTTTCCATCAGGGGATTTCGAGAAAGCGTATGCCGATTCTTTAAGAATTCCCCCCAAACTGATGAACCTTCAGGTGGTTGCCCAAGGGACGATTCGATCAAGGGGGGCGGACCCTCAGCGACTGTTGAATGCACCTCTCAAACCCCACCTCAGACTGTGCAGGTACCCGCCCATTGCACTTCGCAGAAGGGTGCGCGGTGGGAACGATGGAATCTGTTGCGAACTATGAGACAGAGGCAAGAGACAGGAAGTGTTTGTAAAGAGGGGCAGCTGCGGTACCTGGAGGTGGATGACACTATCTCAGACACACCCCCGCTTTGGCTGCGCTGCCACCTGCAGGTCAGGAGGATCAACGAGCACACTGCTAGTGAGAAGTACCAGCTGGAGCTCTATGACCCACCCAAGGTAAGGCGAACTTTCGAGATCTTCATATATCTTTCAAGAGTGACTACTGCTGTTGTTTTTGGCCTGATTTGATAATTGTATTATTTGTAGTTCTTGTTGGCTCATAATAGCTTGGTATATTGGTTGGATCTTTTATTTTAGATTATTTTTTTGAAGGAGGTCAACTATTTAAAACTTGGCAAAAAAAAATCTAATGGAAATTTGGAAAATTCTGTCATCTTTTACATGTATATATGGCACATCAGGATGTGTTGCACAAAGTTTGACGTCAATGACAAATCATCCAGTTACATTTGTAAATTTTGGTATGGAAACTGCTGTGTCTTGTCTTGAAGTGTTATGTTTATATGCAAATATAAAATGAAATTCAAGAGCTACATTAAAATATGGCACGTCAGTGTATTGCAAGAAGTTTGCTGTCAATTACAAGTCATGCTAGAACCAATTGCATTTGTAATCTGGCGTGATTTGTTTTGAAGCATTATATTTTTTAATGTGAATGCGAATTAAGGGCTATGCTGTGTTTAGTTAATAAAAATGTAAAGTTATTTCACATTTTTTCAAATATGACATGCCAAGACCTGTTGCCAGAAGTTTAATTTTAATGAAAAATCACAAAAGAAACAATTGCGTTTTAAAATTTTGGCATGATATGCAAATATTGAATTGCATATTTAAATGAAATTAAAAGATTGAAGAGCTCCGTCATTAAGTTAATAAAAAATGTAAGTTTCATTCAAGTATGTATTGCACAGAGTTTGATGCCAATGACAATGCCATGCAAGAACCAGTTGCATTTGAAATTGTTGACGTCACATCTTACGTGACTTGTCTTGAAGCGTTATATTTAAATATATCTAAATGTAAACTATGTGTTGTAGCTATAAAAATGTGAATTTCATTCATGTATATTCAAATATGGCATGTCAGTGTGTTGCGTTATGTTTGTTGTCAATGACGTCATGCAAGAACCAGTTGCCTTTTTGCGTGACTTGTTTTGGAGCGTTATACGTAAATATCTGCAAATATTCAAATATGTCACTTCAAGATGTGTTGCACAAAGTTTGTTTGCAATGACAAATCACACAAGAACCAATTGCATTTGTAACTGTTGTCTTGAAGCCTTATGTTTAAATATATGCAACCGTAAATGAGATTTGAGAGCTGTGCTGTGTTTTAGTTAATAAAAAATTCACATATGTAAATATGGCACTTCGAGATGTGTTGCACCAGGTTTCATGTCACTGGCATGTGAGAACCAATTGGGTTTGATAGCAAAAATGGTGAGAAGGGTCATGAGGCCTTAAATTTGAATCTATGTGAATACAAATGTGAGCTATGGCAGAGGGGAGGATTTTCAGCAAATAACAACTTTTAATATAATATTTAGCAAGTTTAAAACAGATCTTGCATTCTGCTGCGTGTATCCTTTTTTGCTACATGGATTTAAAACAAGGATGAGTAAATGATGAAAATGGCATGATTCATCTAGTATGTGATATTTTCACATTAACACTCATTTAGCCTAATTAATCCACCCACATTTAAGACAAACTGCCTACTTGAAACAGGATCTGATTGATACTATTAAGTGTAATGAAACTAATAAGGACACAATTACGGTTTCGTCTGCCTTTCTTTCCACCTTGCTCCTGGTTACACAGCATGATAGCCTAATTGCTAGTTTTGCTAGTTCATTCAGGCAGCAAATGACGTCTGCTCACTTTAGGGGTCACAGCACGGCTGTATCAAGGCTCTGATTGGCTGCTGAGGAATCTTGGCAGAGAGGCGAGGACTTGCTCTGAATGTCTATGTAAGGGAAAGGCAACGTAGGCCAAGAAAGTTCAAACACTTAAAGTGTATACACTCCAATAAATGTCAGAAGCATGCACACATGTTTTAGTTTCAAATTAGCGATGCATTCTTCGTTTTTTTTAAAAGAGAGAAACAAACATGTAGGCTTTTGCTGTGCATGCATCATAGTTTATTTCGCTGCATGCATCTTACTTATGTGTGTGCTTAATGTGTGCACTGGTGTGTGAGCGTGGAGGCTGCATTATAGAGTGCACACTAGTCCATGCCTTGATTCTGTAACTGTGCACTCTATGTTTGGTGTGTTCACTACAATAGCAACAGTGAGGGCAGCTATGCTAAGAGAGGAAGCTGCAGGCTGGCTGATAATTTCTTTGCGTGAGAAACTTTGTTTCAGGGAAGTCCTAACTTTAAAACCAGCCTGTGCACAGCAGATAAATTAGTATGATTATCTGCTGTCAGATTTCACAGAAGTGTTGTATTATTATCAAGTTAAAAATGACTAGCTCGACCAGAGACAAAGTGCTAACATATTGTGTGCATGTATATACTGTATATGTATGTATAGCAATGTGACTGCAGAAAGCCACGAGCGACCAATCAGAATCAAGCATTGGAAAGAGAGCCTTGCAATTTATATGTGTCGCAAAACTGTATGCTTTCTTACGTGTATATGATGTTTTTTGGAAGGCTTGAGAAACATCTGGTGTTGGTCTCAAATGGTGTTCATTAAACAGGGCTTCTAGGGCTGGAGACCACAGACCTTTAATTGCCGATGTAGTCTGAACAAGTTTGGTGGAGTGCTTAGAAAGTTTAGTAAAAGCTTAGAAACCTTAAAATGAAAAGAAGATTAATATGGACACCATGAAATCCAGCAGTGTGCAATGCATTTGAGCTCATGAAGTGTGTGGATTTGTGGATTGGATGAAACTTTATAGACTTGTATTTGTGTTGTATATGTCGAAGTCTTCTGATGTGGCTTGTTGGTGTGTGATCAAGCAAGAAAGAAAACAGGCTGTATCAAAGTTAGATTTCAGATTTTGAAATTATTTTCATGTCTTGTTTTTTCTAGTATTATTTGCTGTACAACAATTGCAGCCAGTGCTGTGGAAAATATTTCTAATTCTAGAAAACCGCATCCTCCCATCTGGAGCGTGTTAGAGCTTCACGGTGACCTTATGCACATGCAGATGCTCACACAACTACATCCAGAGTCGTTTCAACTCTTTAATAAGCGAACAACCAAATCAGATCAGCAACACAATATTTGGTATAAAAACAGGCTGCACGGATTTAAACTGAAACTAATGTCCAATTGCATAAGATATATGGTAGTTGTTTATTGTGTTTTTGCTTGCGTTTTTATAAAGTGAAATATTGATAGCACATCTTACAGGCCACCTTGGTTCTGGCAGTATTTTTCTTATTTATTTTCTTCATAGAGATTTCAAAAAATATTGAAGCAAACCAACTAGCTCTGAGATGATTCACAACTTGCTAATTTAGCTATATGAAGCAAAAAAAAATGCATTAAAGTAAAAAAAACTGAAAAGACACTATTCTCTATGGAGAAAATGAATGTGATTTTTACTTGCAGAATCTGACTGTTAGGCTCTGTTTACATGCCCTCGTTTGTTTTCCCTTTGACTTTTGAAGAAACAGTTTGAAACTTGACTGAAACCCAAACTGAGACTCAAAGTTTCATTTCTTAACATGATCAAGGGCTGCTCTGACCTCTAACCCGTCTTTATCAATATGAAAATCTGCAGATTGATAAGTAGGCCACAGTCATCAGTCATAGCGAAATCAGACATGTCCCTTTTTCCCCGAAAGCATAACACTTGACAATTTAAAACCAAGAATTATATCACACACAGAGATGCAGACAGCAGAAAACGCTCTGATGCATTTTCAAAGATGTAAAGGCACACACACATAGTTGCAGACCGTGCGCTGGTTCACATGATGATGACGACAGCATTTTTGATTTAGATCAAAACTGCAAGTTATAATTTTCCTATGTGTCAAGTTTTTATAATTTGCATGATTTAATTTGAATTGTATTGCATGCATTGTTTTCAGTGCATTTCTCTTTTTTCTCATTTGTCATTTGGGAAATGCATTATTTGAAATTGTACTTTCATGTCACATGTGGTCTGTTTGGTTCGCAACCAATTTGGAATATAATAATTTGAATAGCCTGAAATAATATTAAATCAAATAACATTTAATTTATAAATGTTTAATATAAAATTAATTAATAGTCAGACATTATTGGTGTATATATTTATTTATTTATTTTTGGGTATTCGTGCACATTGTTTGGCCTTTTTAATAATTCAGTGTTTTTACACCTCATGGTTTCCATTAACTGACTGGTTTGTTTTGTCTGTGATCGGCTGCTTTATTTATTTACTGATGTAGCTCAATCATTAGTAGTGAAGCACGTCTGTCAGCATAACTGATTCACACTGGTACACACTCTCGGCGTCTGCAGCATCGGGACTGAGATGAGATCCTTTGTTTGCTTCGCATATGACAGTTCCTCATCTTTGGGTGGTTGTGTGTTTTTGTGTAAAACACATTCACCCAATACTTTTGAGAGCTGTGCGCTCAGAGGACAAACATGGCCATGTGGGTGGTGGGTGTGAAACAGCCCCTGCTCAAAATATTGACTGTGTAACACTGCAGTGTCGCCTGTAATTCAACAGTACAGCCCCATGACTGACGCCTGTCTTATGCATCACTGAATGCTTATTTTTTGGACTGAGCCACTGTTGAAGGCCCCAGTGTGAATATTCACAATAGCTGTGCGGTGTGTGAAATAAGTGTATACAATGAGTTTTATAGGTCTTTTTAGAATAATTAGTCCTAACGGTAACACATTAGTATAGGTACCAATAGGGCTCGGCAAAAAATCGAATGCGATTTTCATGCGAATCTCGTCAGTAGAGCCGCTTCTGGTGATTAGTAGTAAATCTCCAGCACATGCTTTCAGATGGAGCGGCATTTACTACACAGATTCGCGATTCAGACACTGATTCAGACGATGACTTGTCAGTTTGAGAGTGCTTTTACTGATTCATTCAAAGAACCGTATGGAAGAATATTCAGGAAAGGAATTGCAAATTGTATTTTCAATTGTGTTTTCCGTATGTGGACACTAGGCTTGCCGCGATAGACTGTGC